AGACGATACAGAAAACATGCTAAGGGAAAATACTAATCTCACACAAGTTTATTTTACTGAAACCTAATCTGAAGGACATAATACATTTTATGCGAAAGCAGCTTCACAAGAAGCTTTAAAACAAAGTGTAGGGGATACTCTGAATAAGTAACTCAAAGGTCTTTCTTTCAGCGGAAACTTCTGTACACAGGACTGTACATGCAACTCTCAGCATACTTCAAAAGATCGGCAGGTTGGGGTAGATGCGTAGCCAATCCTGCAAAAGCACAAGAAAAAGATATGATCATGTCTGAAAGATGAAAGGAAAAACCATAGTAATCTACCTGACTATAGGGTAAACAGAAGCGACTTACCAAGTTCATATGCCTTAGCAGCCACCTTAGCAGCTATATGAGCTGAGATGTTTCTTATGTTAGAGAATGGTGGGTAAATCAGCCCCTTCTCGTAGTTCTCTTCAGAAACTTGCTCAGCCAAGGCTTCAGCTGTTACACATCAGACAATAACAAAGGCTGGTATTAGGCCATTGCCAAACCTGCTCTGACAGTACTATTTATTTCGATAGATCGTGTTTTATTAGGGAATCAATCAGAACGTGTCCCAGTTCTGCATTTGTTCCTTATTACTACAAGAAAAATGTGCCTACAGAAACCCGATGATACAAAATTCTTCTGGTGCACCTTGGGTATGTAGGATCTTTTACACCACATATCAATTATTACTTGAAGACACTATTTGGAAGCAAAAGTAGAAAAGTATAAAGGCTTATTCTTAATTCCATTATGCTTGTTACTTACATGCTGCCAAAAGCATATCATCATGCACACGAATTGCTCCAGCAATGACCAGACCAAAACCAAACCCAGGGAAAATGTAAGCGTTATTGGCCTGATTTATTACCAAAGAAAAAAAAATCAGTTCAAGATTATTCAATCAATTATAGCAGTAGATGAAATCTTAGGGAAAACTTGCCCAAGTACTAAATAGTTATAATCATATAACCTGGCCAGGAACAAAAATTTTGCCATCATATTCAACAGGATCAAACGGACTGCCACTAGCAAAAATTGCACGACCCTGCACAAACAAAGGAAGTAAACATAAGGTAAGAATGGAAACTGAGGATTTTGCAATTTTAGGCATATTCCTTAATTACTGGATATAAAATCCTTGAACATTACCTCACTCCAAGTGTAAGCTTCTTCCGCTGTGCACTCCGATTGTGTCGTGGGGTTTGAAAGAGCCATTATGATAGGTTTCTGTAGGCCACAGATAATGATTTGGAATCTTCAAGTTGGAACATAGTTCTGGCCGAAATAAATAGTCAAACTGGCCAAGCTCATTAAAAGGAAGAAAGTGAAAATACCTCATTGAAGGAGGCCATAGCCTCAACCACTTCTTTTGTAAAAGTTCTTCCAACTCCAGATGATCCAATCAAAACTGTTGGCTTGATTGCCTGACAAAATATGGAGGTACTGTAAGGACCAAAAAAACACTGAAAATAAATAGAAACCTAAAGAAAAGCATAAATTTCACACCTGGACAGCCTCCAAGAGAGTATTGACAGGTTCATGTTCATGAGCCCAAGGCTGCTTGAAGTGTTGAAGTGAATTTTTACGAGACCTGACAATCAGTCCCTGAAGGAAAATGAAAAACCATTTGAATATATAGAGGAAATGGGGATGATAAAGTTGAAAGAAAATGGATATCCAAGAGCTTTTGTTTGGAAGGAATTCTGATCTGGTTCCCTACTACCTTTGAGTCCACAAGCCAGATCTTTTTGCGGGCTTCTTCCACAGGAGCATTTATCTACCAAAAACAGATGCAACGAAATAAATGAAGGAATAGTTTCTATCAGCGTACTGAAATTACTCCAAATCCCCAAATGTAACAGAAACAGAAACCAAAACCAATTTGCAAACATGAAAAGTTTGCATTTCTATACCCGCTTTGACATTTCAAGTGCTATAAGCTCTGCTATACCGGTGCCAGCCTGAAATAATGACATTAACCGATAAGATAAAGTGGATAGACCAAATGCTAGAATATAGAGAGGAAGAGAATACAAATCTGTTGAAAGTTAATTACATGATCTATTGGAACAAAGAAAAGAAGAAAGAAAGGAGAAAGATGATGCACAACAAAGCAAAAGTAAAAAAGTGAAGCTTTGACAACCGAAAAAATACAATCATACAACAAGCAGTAGGCCCATTCTCAAGTTACATTCTCCTATATACTAAAATCAAGTTTTTATGCTCGCTTTAAACCTTTGATTATCCCTACTTTAGCAGCAGGACCAGAATCATTGATGATATTAGCAGGGAAGTGAAATGAAAGGAACAAAGACTTACTTCACCAGCACCAAGGAATAAGAATGTCTGATCAGCCAGGGACCCACCAAGTAACTTCAATGCAGCGACCACCCCTGCAAGAACAACAGATGCTGTCCCCTGCAGCAAAAGGTGAAGCAAATTAGAGACTAAAAATCTTCCCAAACACGAGCATCCACTGTCACACTACTTCTACCTCTTACCTGTATATCATCATTGAAAACGAGATGAGTTGCTCTGTATTTTGAAAGCAACTCAAAAGCATTGTGGTTTGCAAAGTCTTCAAACTGCATAATTGGTTGCAAGTGAATAAGCATGACCAGAAATGGACAAAGATTTCCAGTTTTGCAAACCCAAATATAATAAAACCATTAGTTAATTATGTCCACCTGTATGAGAACTTTTTCCCCATAATTCTGCTTGACAGCAGTCATGAATTCTTGTAGAAGCTCAGAGTATTCCTGCAACAAAAAATTCGAAACTGCTGAAGTATGGAAATAAAGTAATTCAAACATAAACAAAAATCTGCAGATAAAATCCAGATAACAAAAATGAGTTGAAACCTGTCCTCTTGCCCTCTGCTGTCTGAGCCCGATATAGAACTCATTGTTCAACAATTTCTCATTGTTGGTACCCACATCAATGGTTATAGGCAAACACTACAAGATATTGAAAAAACAATTAATTATAGTGGTGTTGAGGAAACAAATGAATCAGAGGCAGATTTCATGGTTGAAAATTTCAATTTTCATTTCCATTTCGGCCAGAATTTTAATCTACTATTATGCTGAATTTTTTTTCCAAAACATAGATAATAAAAGACAATATTAGAGCAACTATGATAGTAACAAGAAACTATATCAAGAAATGCTTACTGCTGAGGGACGAACTCCTCCAAGTGCTGTGTATAAAGCTAATTTCCCAACAGGAATTCCCATTCCCTAGAGCATTTCCAAAAGAGTCAAACATAAGATTTACAAGCTCAACACCACAAGTCAAGAATTTACCATTCTATTTAATCGTTTGCCACCATATTCTTTTACTATATTAATCTTTAATACATGGATTGCATTATAACTTTCATTATTAAACCACCTCCAACCTACCAAAAGTATGCAAGATGGGAATGAAGGAGATTCAAACATTAAAATCATAATATATTTCTACATATGAAGATATGTTTAGTAATTAAATGAAAGAATAAGAATGGAATTGAATGAGATTTGAATCTAAAGGACCATGAATTTTGTAGCTGAGAGAAATGAAGTGTAATATGGTACCTGGCAGCCAAGATCTCCAAGTCCCAAAATCCGTTCCCCATCAGTCACAACTATAACTTGGATACTCTTTTTAGGCCAGTTCTTCAGTACCTCAAGAATTTTTCCCCTGCAGAATTATCAAATTGAGTCACAAACTGACTTACTCCATGCACGAAGTCACACAACAAAGGGATTTCCATACTTCTCTTTCAAACTGATGTATAGACCCTGAGGGCGTCTGAAGATGCTTCCAAATTTCTGGCAAGCTTCACCGACAGTCGGGGTGTAAACAATAGGGAGCAACTCCTCAACATTATCAATCAGGAGCTTGTAGAATAGTCTTTCATTCCTTTCCTGTAAGCACAAACACAAAAGAAAATTTTACTATTCAACACTATCAATCAGGAGCTTGTAGAATAGTCTTTCATTCATTTCCTGTAAGCACAAACACAAAAGAAAATTTTACTATTCCCCCAGTTGTCCTTCACAGCATCGAAGACACAAAAACCAATCATTCAACTTGAGATGATAAACTATAAAGCTAATCTCATTTCAGAATCTTCAAAATAAAAACTGAAAGTAGTTAACTTGCACGTATATTCTAAGGCATCAAATATTACAATCAGATTATGATCAAGATTGAAAAGTAAACAATGTGGTTAAAGCAGTTACCTGAAGTTCAGTCAAGGCCATATATTTCTGCAGTGGAACTTGATATTGTCGGATATTATGCATCAATTTCTTCTCCTGATTCACAAAATTAATAAACCCAAAGAGGATTAATAAGGGCTTAAAAGATTATTTTTCTTTTGAAAAAGAAAAAGGCATTGCTAGCAAAGGGTAAACCTGAAGCTGTTGAGTGGAAATAGCAGGAGGCAGAAGACCTCGCAAGTAGTGAGCATCTCGTTCTTTCTCAGTGAATGCAAGGCCTTTGTTGTGGTGTGGATCCCTCAACAACGTATACCCACTGCACCATGTTCCATAAATCTCAAACTCTTTAGTATCTCAGATTATTTGAATTACTTCCAGAGGCGTAAAATTCTAAGCAATCGACCCCAAAATTCAAAACACCGTTGAGAATAAGAAATATATATATATGTAGTAACTTTCCCAATTCATACGCTGTTTATCAAAAAAGTAGTAAAAGAACAGAGAAATGAACAAATCAGAGACTATGTTGAGACATTAGTCAGCACAGAAAACAGAAGAGATCATTAAAAAAAAATCCACCCACTTTCCAGGAACTCCCAGAAAATGAAAACGAGACCCGTTAAATAATTTAGAGAACTATTAAGCATAAAATCGGATTCAGCTTACAAAACTCAAGCATGAAGAAATAAAACCAAAAGCTATTTCTTTGGGATGAACCATTGGCAGTTGGAGCACAGTGAATCACATAAAATCACATCAAACATTTTTGTTTTTTTTAACCAACGATCTTATGATACAGTGCCGTAATCCATGAAAGATGATTAGAAGAAGTGAACCTTGCAACGGAGAAAGTCCAGGGGGTAACGAGTTGATCCTCTGTGGCGCGATCCTCACCGTAAACATCTTCGACTCCGCCACCAACGGTGACTGATGATCCGTCCTTTGCGGTACTCTCCATCCTGAGCGTTGAAATCTTTTTTTCTACCGACAACTCTTTTTTTACTCTGCGATCAAGAAGAAGCAAAACTGAGTCTGTGCAAACGTCAAGGGAGCCATGGCCATCTTTATACTAGAAGCTGAGTAGCTTTAAGTCAAAGTCAAAGTTGATCAACCAAATAAACTATCATAAAAAATATCTTCGCTCTATATAATTGAAGGTGGCTGCCACGTGCTTGAAAAATCTTTTGCATGAGAAACTAGTCTTTTTAAAAAAAAAAAAAAAAAAAAAGAATTAGCAACGGTGATAATTGTATTCTAAATGCTAATATATACGGGTTTCTTAATAATAAATTAATATTATTTTGCATATAATTATTTTTGTCTTTGGCACTAGAGTAAATAGAAGTCTGGTGCATAATTGTAATTATCTATAAAATTAGGGTTAAATTTGTAATTTAATACAGCTACTATTCGTTAGTGAAAAAATCTTATTATTTTTCCAAATTTAAACGAGCAACTTTTTTTTCTCAATTAAATATTTTTCTAAAATTTTCATTTCTTCATCATAGATCTCCTCAAAATTCATCAATTTTCAACAGTAGGTAAAATCTGAATGCAAATTATTAACAAATTCGAACATGGTATGAAAGCAGACAAAAAATTTTCTTATAAATTGCTAATCGTACAATTGATTTTTAAAATTCTAGTCTTTGTTTATCGATCTTTTGACCATCATGAATGTAATTTTACTTTCAGAGCTATCAAAGCATGAAGAAATGAAAGTTTCGGAAAAATACTGAGGTGAGAGAAAAGCGATGCTCGACTTCTGAATTCGGAAAAAATGAGAAGATTATTTCATTAATAAACAGTAGGTAGGTATTTATACAAGATGAATTAAATTAAAAATTGAATCTTAACTTTATAATTATACTCTAAACAATTATTTACTCTAATAGCCATATTGTCTTTTTATAGATTAAATAATATAATACTGCAGTCAGTTAATATTTATAATACTATATATAATGGGTATATCTTTAAGATATATAATTATTTTGTAGTGTTATATAGTTTTGTTAAAAATGTATTAGAGTTGTATTTTCTTGTCTTTTAATTATTTGAAAGAGAATTAAAATAAAACTATATATTAATTTTATAAAAATTATAGTAAATATCTTTCTTAAAATAATAATAATCATTCAGTAGAATGTTCTACGTTTACCGGACCAAGAAGTAGATTTATGGGGCTTAATATGAAAATGAGAAGTTTGCAAATTCAACTTTAAACCTTCTGTCAGTGGAAAAAATAATAATAATAATAATCAACGTTTAAATCTTGACTCATGATTTGTTCTTGTTAAACAATAATTTCTTTTAATTTTTTATGGTAATATAAAAAATATTTATAATCTTTTAGATATTAAATAAGTGTTTAATGTGGACATAAACTAATTTATTAATTTAAATATTTTCATTTAATAATTTTCAAATAAAACTACTCATAGCTGTAAAGATATACTAAAATTAATAAATTTAATTTAGACGTTAAAGAAATTAAAAAGTATATTTAACGAAAATAATGATTAAAGAAATACAACTTACATTATTAGTGTTTTAAAATGGATAACATTACGCCGAGATTGGAAATATTTTGTCCGTGTCGGGCAAATATAAAAGGAGATAGAGAACCCATTGACTCATTCAACAAAACTAATCCATTTCTTTTTGACTTTTAAACTCATCCATTCACCAAACCTTATTAATCACCAAATATAAGATTAGTATTTTATTTCTGAAAAATGGTCTTTTATTATATATGCGTAGTCACAGAAGTCCACATCGAGATTGATAAAAAAGCTGTAATTAATATGATGTAATCGAGTATAAATAGAAAATTATAAGTTAAATAAATATAATTGTAAAATGAATATGAATTTAATGATAAATCTGTGTTGTCCAAGTTCTACTTAATTTAATCAAATTTTAATTAACAAATATTTTATTTTTTATATTTATAATATTATTTTATGTTTATTATTGAATAGATTATACTTAAATATTACTTTAAATTACACTTTATTTGGATTAACATTTATGATTTTTAATTATTCATTTATTTGTGATGTGAGTAACGAATAAACCATTTTCTACCGAAAAGAGTATGTGTTTACGGCGGGAATGCACGTATTTGCTCCATATATATCTATTGCAAAATTTTTAGTTAATTATTTTTGTAACAAAAAGAACCTTTACAACGATGATTTGTCATCACCCAACATTTTTGTCTTTTCCCTTCATGTTCACTTGTTCTTTTTTTTTTTTTTTTTTTTTTTTTTATCAAATCTATTTTTTGAAACTATATGATATGAAAAATTAAATATTTGTTTTTATTGAGTGATCTTTGCTGGTATTTTTGACAGTGCAACTCCTACACCAAGAAAAATATTTCATTCTTCAAATGATTATTACCATTAAAACACAACAAAACTAAATTCTTCATTCTCGGTCACTCTATTTACTTTGTGAAGAAGTCTTTTTCTATGTTGTCAGTCTCAACTCTTATCTTGAGTTATGCAATATGCTTGTACATGCTTCTAGTTTTATATCACAAATTACTGACCGGCTTCATATAGAACTTTAGGATTTGAATAAAATGATATTTTAACTTTGTGATTTCTTTAAAAAAAAAACAAAATATTTATTTTACTGGATCCACGCACTTTGTCTGTAACAAAATTTAATGTCATTATATATAAAAATATTGATTGCGATTTCCACAAAGTTATTACAAGCGTGCATCCATCTTTTTTCATGAATTACATGGTCAATTACTAACCCATCAAGTCCTTGATATGGAAGATCTTAATCTACCTCTTGTAAATATGATACTAAAAGTTTGACTCAGCCCTCATCTGATGTATTATTGTTTACTCCATCTAACATCACTTATTGAAGATAACAACAATCTTAAGGGAAGCCAAGTATAATAAACATCCTTGTTAAATTTAAAGATCATTCAATAAACATATGTTGTAAATTATATTTTCTAGAGTTTTAATGAATGCTCACCAAATTTGTGTTGATCATTTTGTTGTACCATAAGCTTCTATTTTTTTTTATTCTCTAGTTTATTGATGGGTGTCTAATTCACCAAAAATAAATTTTTATTTAACCAATAAAATAAGATTGTCGTAATGGTAAGTAGGATCGAATTGACAAGAAATTAGAAACTAATTTTCTTATTTGACCAACAAATGAATAGTAAACAAAAAGGGGGGATTTTGTAGAATCCAATACATGAAATATAAAATAAATAATGAGTAGAATAATATTAAACAAACTCTTACTGCAAGTTAGAAAATGAAACAATTATAAAAAAGATTTCTAGTCGATGAAATAGCTAACTCCAATAACGTAGTTTATCATAAATGCAAAGATTTGTTTTACCCAAAATACGACAAATCGATTATAGTTGTCAAAAACATTCCAACTACCAATCCTTTTTTATTCTTAACCAACCAAAAAATATTCGTTAGTTGGGTTCTTCGTTGTCAAGCAGTCTTAGAAATGTCCACAGATTTAACTTGTCACGACTGAGAGATAGACGACCATTCAGTTTTGAT